AGCACAGGGCCTGACATGGGGCTCGATCCCACAACCCATGAGATCATGACTTGAGCCGAAACCAAGAGTTGGATACTTAACCAACTGAGCCACCCAGGCACCCCGCCACTCTCATCGCCTTTATTCAACATAGTACTGGAAGCCCTGGTCACAGCAATTCAGCAAGAAAAAACAGTCCACATTAGGAAGAAGTAAAACTGTCACTATTTGCAGATGACATGATACTATATATAGAAAACCCTACAGACTCCATAAAAAAACTATTAGAACTAATGAATGAATTCAGAAAAGTTGCAGGATACAAAATCACTATATAGAAGTCTGTCACATTTTTGTACACTAATGACAAACCGCCAAAAAGAGAAATTAAGAAAACAATTCCATTTACAATTGCATCAAAAAGAATAAAATGCCTAGGAATAAATCTAACCAAGGACGTAAAAGTCCTGCAAACTGAAAACTATAAAGATACTGGTGAAGGAAACTGAAGAGGACACAAATAAATGGAAAGATATTCCATGCTCATGGGTTGGAAGAATTAACATTGTTAAGATGTCCATACTAAACCAAAGCAATCTATAGATTCAATGCATTACCTATCAAAATTCCCATGACATTTTTCACAGAACCACACCAAATAATTTTAAAACTTATATGGAACTACAAAAGACCCTGAATGGCCAAACCAATCTTGAGAAAGAAGAATAAACAAGGCGGTGTCAAACTCCTTGACTTCAAACTGTATTACAGAGCTATAATAATCAAAACAATATGGTATTGGCATAAAAACAGACACATAGAGCAGCGGAAAAGAACAGTGAGTCCACAAATAAACCCATACATATATGGCCAATTACTTTACTACAAAGGAGCCAAGAATGTACATTGCGGAAAGGATAGTCTCTTCAATAATGGTGTTGAGAAAGCTGGACAGTCACTTTCGAAAGAATAAAACTACATATACCATATACAAAATGAATTCAAAATAGATTAAAGACTTGAATAAATTAGAACTCAAAATAGGTGAAAGACTTGAAACCATAATAATTCTAGAAGAAAACATAGATGGTAAGTTCTTTGACATTGGTCTTGGCGTTGAATTTTTGGATTTGACTCCAAAAGCAAAAATAAGCAAATGGGACTACACCTATCTAAAAAGCTTCTACATAGCAAAAGAAACTATCTACAAAATGAAAAAGGAACCTACTGAATAGAAGATTTGCAAATCATACATCCAATAAGGGGTTAATAGCCAAAATATATAAAGAACTTACACAACTTGAGAGCAAAAACAAAAACAAAAAACCAAACAATCCAAATAAAAACAGAGGATCTAAACAGGTATTTTTCCAAAGAAGACATAGAGGTGACCAACAGGCACATGAAAAAATGTTAAACATCACGAATTATCAGAGAATCAAATCAAAACCACAACGACCACTTCACACTGGCCAGAATGGCAATTATTAATAAGATTAAAAAAAATGACAAGAGTTGGAGAGGATGTGGAGAAAAGGGAATCCTCCTACACTACTAGTGGAAATGTAAATTGATACAGCTAATATGGAAAACAGTACAGAGGTTACTAAAAAAATTAAAACTAGCACTACCATATGATCCAGCAATTCCACCTCTGGGTATTCATCCAAAGAAAACAAAAATGCTAATTCAAAAAGATATATGCAACTCCTCTTCTGTAATCAAAACCATCACCATATGCCATCACATTTTGGCTTACAGGTCTGAACCCAATCCACACATCAGACTGGCTTGCTTCCATGTACTTGCATTATTATTACATAACTATCTATTCCTGGTCTCAGTAGGAAGTAAAGATATAGCCAAAGTCACCTAAAAACCTTTCAGTTTATCCTCATCTCAGACTTACACTGGATCTTTAAATGTATTAATTTTAAAGAATATTGATACAACTGAATTTATATATTTAAAGAACTCTGAGCTTCTCAGCAAAAAACCTCCTGATGTTAGCACAATAATTAAAACATTTTACTGACTGGGATGCCTGGGTGGCTCAGTGGGTTGAACATCTGACTCTTGTTTTTAGCTCCTGTCAGTCTCAGTCTCGAGCCCCCTGTCGGGCTCGGTGCTCAGTGGAGAGTCTGCTTGGGATTCTCTCTCTCCCTCTCCCAATCCCCCCCCCTGCCCCCACTGCTCACGTGCTTGTGCTCTCACTCTTTCTCTCTCTAGAATAAATAAATAAATCTTAAAACAACACCACCAACAACAACAACATTATACTGACTTCAAAAACCTAGAAAACAATTTTCCTTTAAGGCTCCATTTAGTCCTAACCACAAAATAACTTGTATTAATGGGATCTACATTGCAACAATGGTTTGAGATCAAATAAAATCAAAAGACTCTACTCTTGCCTGAAGCACCTCAATTAACATGCCACAAAAGTTCCTACTACAAATTTAAAGAGACGGTTTTGTGAATTTTATGACAAGTTCACATTATCCCCATTGATGGGAATAAATTCCTTTCCAGACTACCCACTGAAAACCCAGTGCCATGAATTCACTCTAACCAGTTTCTTACTGGAGTCCTCTCTACCAGTCATTCCTCATTAGGGTTCCTTTTACAACATCCTTGGGGGGGGGGGGGGGGGTTGGGGAAGGAAGTCAATCAATGAAACATTCAATAATCACCAACTTCCTGCTGACTTTAAATCAAGATTAGCTAAACCTTTCCCATCTACTAACCCACAGCCATCTATTCTCTTCCACTACAATTACTATAATTTCAGCTGATTTTCCAGCTTTTACTTCATAATATTTTAATTCCATTTACTATTGAATTTTTTCTAACAGTATTCTAAGTAAATGTTTCCATACATTCTGAGGTATAATTTAGAGATACACTTTGTTTATCATCTTACCCATCCTGCCAGTGAACCATGAGCACATGGAAGATTATACATTAATGATTCAGTACAAAGTAACTATAATAATTCAAGTAGAAAAGCTTAAGACAAGATCAAAACTCCAGGGAGGGAAATTATATCATTGTATGTATTATACATTATATAAACTTCTGCCTTTTAAATACCAAGACCTCCCAGACAGAAAGCTTAAAAAACCGACTTGGCTGATTAGCCACAAGCAATAAGGGAATTTTTTTCCTTTGATAACAGAACATAAGCCTACAACAAAATTCTGCTTCTTCTTTTATAATATAGAAGTTACAGTATAGTTCCCACTCACCCTTAGTCAAAGAGTTTTCTCTTTATTATTTAAAGTCAGAAAAAGGAGGTCATTTTCCAAACACCTTATTTCTAAAATGCTATTATTATTCGTCATTGAAATCCTAGTGCAAAATCCTAGAGTATGTGTTAACCTCTATAAGACCCGTTTTCTATTTCTTCCTATAAAATATTTCTAAGCTCTATCTTCCCACTTCACTTCCAGCATTACTTGGGTTTTAACTGTGAAGGAAAGAAAATTCAAATATCTGACTGAAATAATTGCTTGCTCTTCCAGGCCTAATTCTGGTTAGGTCATTATTCATCTGCCCACCAGTAACTGAGTGAATGCCTACTAGAGGCACAGAGCTGTCCCAAGTGCTGAGGTGCAATTAAAGAAACATAGAAGATATGACCTTCCTTTCAAGAATCTTATAAGCAATCTATTTGGGGATAAAAATCAAAGACAAAATAAAGAGACAACAACTGTAAAATGATATAAAAACAAAAATTCAACAGACTGGCAGCCTTGAGGAAGGAAGGAAGAAAGAAAGAAAAAAGGGACATATTTAGCGCTAGCTTCAGATTCAACTAAATGTACTGGATGCTTACTTCATGCCAGGAACTCTAATTAGTGTTTTCACATATACTACTCATTTAATTCATCCTAAAATAACAATAGAGCAAAAGCATGGTCTTGAAAAAAGCTGAGTAAAGGGGATGATAAAAAGATCTTACTAGAAGAGCCATGTGGAGAAGCAGTTTAAATAAAGTGAGACAAGTGTTAATCTCTCCCTATTATACTTTAACAGTTAATATCTATAGTTATATGGGTGTAAAAGAAGAGTATAAAAGGCAAATTGGTGAATATTTTTCTTTTTAAAAAAATTCTAATTGGGAAAAAAGTACACCCAGGTGTGGTGATAGATGTTAACTATACTTATTATGGTAATCATTTCACAATATATACAAATACCAAATCATTATGTTGTACAGCTAAAACTCATATAATGCTATGTGTCAATCAGATCTCAAAAAAATAAAGAAATTGTTGAAGGTTGAATCCTAACATCCAGAGTTCAAAATGTGATCTTATTGGGAACTAGGGTCATTGCATATGTAATTAGTTAAAATGAGATCATTAGGGTGGACTCTTAATCCAATATGACTCATGTCCTTATCCACAGAGGAAACTTGGACACAGAGAAGGACACAGGGAAAAATTTCTGATGAGGGAAATTTCACTGGGAAGAAAAGTGAAAAACACAGCTAAAATGAGATCTGTGAATTATCTGTGGATGTCCTTGTTATCACAGGCAAATAAAAAGTGGAAATGTGTTGCTTTATGCCTCTCTCAAGTCTTACATGTTTAGCTTACATCTAAGATGGATCATTTATCAATGTATGTCTTATTTCCCAAGTTCCTAGAGGTTGTGTCTTATCTACCTGTATGTTGGTTACAACACTTGGAAATGTGGAACAGCTGTACACTCTGAAGTAAGGAGATTCAAGGGTTCAAGTCTCAGCTCTGCAAGTTTATTCTAGCTATTTACCTTGGACAAATTTATAAAACTAGGAGTCTCAGTATCCTTGTCTAATAAAACTCTCTAGGAGTTCTTATGAAGAATAAAGGATATGCAATTAAAAACATTTAGCATAGAACCCAGCATCTAATTAGGTGCTAAATATATATTAGTTCCATTTTTGTCTTTGCATTCTGCACACAATAGAACACAATTATGAAGTTGAGAGTTCCAGTCATTTAGAGAATTTCCAAATAAAGGTATACACTTACCTTGGTTTTCAGCTGGTCTCAGATTTGCTAAAGCAACAATCTGATGCCCAGCAGCAATGCACTGCATCATATTGTAACAGCTATCCTTTCCACCACTAAAAAAGAAATAAAAAGATAAATATCAGGTTACTGACCATTATTAAACATACAATCATTAGATATCAAAATATATTTATTCAACTTTTCCAAATACTTGAGGGACTGCTATACAGTTAAAATACAAAAAAACCACATGTAATTTCCATAGCATAAGCAAATTGAGCAAATGAATCTGAATGCCTGAGGTTGCTACTCATAAAAAGCTTATGAAATTATGTGCCATTTTAACAAAGAGCATTCTAAACAAAATATGGTAACTCTTCGGTTTATAATAGTGCCTTTCCTTTATACACAAAGTGCTTTGAAAATTAAAAAAATGATTTCGTTTTTATATTATATATATTCCTTAGATGAAATTCTCTATGGAAAAGTAGAAAAAAATTTATTCTGTTCTACTACTGTAAGAAATCTATTATAAGAAATCTAACAAATGGCCACCATCACCAACGAAAGGCTCAAATTAAAGATTTGAGATCCAATCTAATGACAAAGTTTGATGTACTTGGTGGGTTCACATTCTGTAGAGACAGAAAACAAATTGCTGAAGTTAAATATCAGTACAATCAGTACGTTAGCCATCACTGTATATATGATGGCAGGATAAGGCTTGAGTCTTAGAGCGAACAAACAGATTGAAAGGAACTTCTAAATTCTAGGACCAAATCCCCTGAGGGCAGGGGCAAACCACTTCATCAAGACAAGTAGTTTCATCTATAACAAGGTTGAATGGCAACCTTTATTTTGGTTTAAAATCTATTGTTTCTCACTAAACATATTTCTTCCTTCATTATCATTGCCTCTCTTTTTCCCCCTCCTTTTCCATTCTTTCTAATCTTTGCCTAAAATCTGCAAGTGTACCTCCAGGCAATAGTCAGATATACTTACAGCCCAAGAAACTTTTAAAAAGAGACTGCTTTTCCTAGAAGCTGGCCCTTTTGCTTTGTATTTTAGTTCCCAACATTTATCTGCCTCTACTACATCCAATCAGTAACTACCATTCCAGAACTTCTCATGGGGAGATCTCAAGAAGCATAATAATGAAATTATACATCACGCTCCCTTTCCTCAGACTCTGATTGATAGTCCCCTATTACATCTTCCACAACTTCCCCTATTGAACTTCACTGCTCTATTTTCTCAGGACAAAATGATCTAATTCTTTAGAATATTTAGAATATTAAAGATTAACAGGTATACAACCACAATTCTAATTCTTCAGAATATTAAAGACTAAAGGATATACATCCACAATCAGAACTTAGCTTTATAATTCATTTGAAAATATGCTAAAATTTCAAACATGGTTTTAAAATAGTATTTCCCAGGGGCACCTGGGTGACTCAGTTGGTTAAGTGTCTGCCTCTGGCTCAGGTCATGATCCCAGGGTCTTGGAATCAAGCCCTGCATCGGGCTCCCTGCTCAGCAGGGAGTCTGCTTCTCTCTCTCTCTCTCAAATAAATAAATAAAATTTAAAAAAAAAAAAACAAAATAACCCACAGTATTTCCCAAACTGTGTTTTATGGAACACTAGTGTCCAACAAAGACTGTAAGAACAAAAGGTCTGGGAAATGCTGAGTAACTTACTCACCTCTCAGAACATTACGAAGTACATAAGCACGTTAGGTGAGAAATCCTATAAAAGACTAGAATTTTAGTTCCAAACTCTGGTATACTAAGCAAAGTTACTCAATGTACACGCTTCATTATAAAACTGGAGAATGGTTTAGCTAATTCTCAGTATGTCATTCAACTGTGAAACTGAGTAATTCAATCTTTTGTGTATAAGAATAATGTTCTTTATGTTCTAAAGATATGTGAGAATCTTGATTATTCCTTAGAGCACACAAACATATTCCATCTCTCATTTTAGTACACATACACACACATACACACAAGATATATTACAAATAGATTCACTGTACTTAAGTTTAAATTCATATATATTCAAATGTATATTCATATAAATGTATGCATTCATATTCATATATATAAATTATGTTATATATTCATACTTATAGCATTCATTCTCCTAACATTTATACAGATCTTACAATTTAGCAAGAATTTTCCAACATTGCCATTTTTAAGTAATTTGCTTTTTTATCACAAGAGTAATATATGCACATTACTGAATATTTACTGTAATGGATTACAGCAGTCTTCTATCCTTCCTTCCAAGATCTGAATCTTCAGTTGGTGTAACTTACTTCAGTGGTTTAACTTCTGGCAAACTGCATATGATGTGAATTACTCATTTCCCGGACTACTTTTTATTCTTGTCTATTTGATCAAATGAAGACCACAGTGGTCAGAGATTAATCACTTACTTTGCAGAAGAAAATTTGCTGAATAACAATAATTATTCTGAGGTTATGGAGTCCTAAAAATGGCATCGAAGTAAAATAAACTGGAATATTCCAGTCACTACGGAAGAGATTAGAATGTGACATCAAGAGTTCTTAATGGGTCACTATTGTTAGCCTGTATCAATTAACTGGGACATTGAACAAAAAAGTTTATGAAATCTTCAATGGGCTTACAAAAGAAAACATGGCTGTGGTGCATCTCATATATTCTATACAGGTCCAAATCTCATCAAATTTTCAAGTACTGCAGTCTAAATTCCCTTTTGAATGGTACTACGTTTACTTCTGCTTCAGTTTACAGATTGCATATGGAAACATTTAAACTGGCCAGTCACGTTATCTTAGGACTTACTTCAGACACCTAACTGTGATGAGCGACTATAGATTTCAAACTTCTTTTGGAAGAGACTATGTTACCATAGGTCAATCTAAAAGCAACTGGATTTAGGATAAAACTGATTAAAATTCCACTTTAACCCCGAGGGAAGAGGCCCTTTTCCTGTACTTGAGCCCCAAGGTAAGACACACCTTTGTCACAAGCTGGTGAGGGAGAGGGGGCCTCCTTAAGTGGGAGGGGGCTGGAGCTATTAACAGCCTCGGGGGATAAAGGCGGACCCGAAGGACCGAGCAGAAAGACTGAAGGAGCTACCGAAGAGGACTAACTGAAGCCGTGGCTCTCCAACGTCACCGTCCATTACACTTTTTAAGAATGCGACCCCGGGCCGTGTCAGAATAATGAAACCAGTGCTCTGGCAGGAGGACCCAGACATGGGTGGGTTTTAAAGTTCCGCCGGTGAATCCAAGTTTGAGGGCCAGAAAATCAGAGAGGCGGGGACGGGGAGACAGGAGCAGCGCCGAGTCCAGCGCCGCGGGTCACGGAGGGCAACGGCCGGAAAACCCCGCCTCTTCCTGTGGCCGGGAGGAGCCGCTGGACCCCCCGACACGCGGTTCCCGCACAAACACTCTCTTTGCCGCGCCGCCGAAAGCGGTAGCTGCAGCTCCCACCAGTCAGCAGGAAAGGAAGAGAGGTTGGCAGGGGAGGAGGAAGGCCGCTCCCGCGCCGCGTTACCTGATCAGAGCAGCGACCCGCATGCTGGGCGCAGTGCGCGTGCGTGCGGCGGGCGACGGCGGGAGCCGGGAAGTTGCGGCCGTAGCCGCCGCCGCCGCCGCCGCCGCCGCCCGCCGTGACGCGCCCCGGGGCCTCGCGCGGGTGTTCGCCTCGCCGCCTGTCATTGGCCCGGGGCGGCGACCCTTGCGACTGCCTGCCGGACGCCTGGCCGGGGAGGATGCGCCACATCGGCGCCTGGTCCCTGTGACAGGGACCTCCTGGCCCGGAAAAGAATGATGTTTAGGCACGTCCTGACCACCTAAGTGAGGGCACTGAAGCTGCTCTGGGAAGGGCAGGGTCGGCGTCGCCGAGCCCAAGTGCGGTGGCCGTGGATTTGTTTCGGTAGGAGAATGTTCAAAGTCATTTCTGCCGCAAATTGAAACACTTTGAACGTGCAGAGGGAGAGGAAGTTTGCCTTTACTTCCTTAGCCACCTGCAAAAAAAACTAACTGCACCCTTTAGTGTGTTTTTTTTTTTTTTTTTTACCTTGTATCTCCTTTGTATTATAAATCTAAGTCTGGAACTAGCCCCCTGACCTCGAAGCTCCCTGGGGTTTGGCCCTTTGCGTAGTACAGAAGCTGAGAAGCCGGCGAAAGAGAAAAGAAAGAAGAAAATCTAGCTTCCAAATTCATTCACTAAGTATTTATTGAATGCCTCTCATGTACCAGGCACTGATTTAGGCTCTTTGGGATACATCCATGAGTAAAACGAGGATCACTATCCTGGAGTTTATATAGGGTGGGTAGAGCAGACAATATACAGGTTAAAAAAATTATATAGTATGTTAACAAGTGATAAGTGCTATGAAAAAAAAAATAGAGATTGAGAGGATTCAGGAAGTAGGGAGGATTCGGAGTAGGCGGAAGGGCAAGTTGCAGAATTAAAGGGCAAGATAGGACTTACGGGGAAGGTGAGAGTTGAGGCAACTTAAAAGAGGACAGTTAGCTGTGTGCTAGGTGTTAGGGGTGTGCTCCAGGCAGGAAGAAAAGCTAGAGCTTTTAAGAACACATCTATTAGGAGGCTAATGCAGCAATGAGGAGAGAAATGATGGATCCTGGAACCAGGATGGTACTAGTAAATGTGGTGAGAAGTAGGAGGAGTCCAGGTCTATTTTCAAGGTAGAGTCCATTGAAATGGATGGATTTGATATGGGATGTGAAAGAAAGAAAACCATGAAGGATGATACCAAAGTCATGAGTTAAATAATATATGTAAGAAATTTAGAATTATGCCCAGTATATAACAGTCATTCAATTTAATTATACTATAATGTTCTTATTAACTCCAGTACTGTTCGTATGAGTGACTACAGCAGTGACAGTCAGCAGTGACTTCAGCATCTAATATGATGCATTTTTAAAATTATGCATTTGTGGATATTTACCAAATGAGTCAAGTATTTAAAGAGTTTGTAGTCTAGTTGCGGACATAAGACAAATCTATTAAACAGATATTCACAATACAAAAGGGCATATTTTGGAAGTAACAAGTTATGTAATGCATATGGCAAGAACCCCATGAGTTGAACCCAAGAGGGTAAATGCTAGAATGAGGGCAGGATTTCAAAGATGGGCAGAAATGAGCAGGAGGAACAATTGGACCTTACAAAAAAAGGTAACAAGACAGGAGGAATTCAGAGCATGTTACCGCAAAATATGCTGCTTTGACATATTGATTATTTTACGTTAAAGGCACTTGAGAAACAGTAGATGAAGGAAGGGCACTCTGACCCTTTTTATTCCTGAAAGGAGGGAGAAAAACTCCCCTACAGAAGGTCCCCTCCCTGTACCAGGGATAAAGAAGATATTCTTATTGCCAGAGAAAGGGAATTGAGCAATAGAGGTGATAATGACTTAAACATTCATTCCTAAGGGGTTGTAGACTTTAGTTATCATACCTTTCTTAGTCTGGGGTTATTGGGTGTATCCATTCACAGGTGCCATTGGGCAAGGGAATACCAGGAGGCACCCAAGTAGATCACCTGGGCTCCATAAGTATTCTTCCTTGTCTCTACTATGTGAAAGCAGCCCCATCTCTTCTCGCTAATAAGGGTCAATTATCCTTGGTTGCTGGCCCCTGGGTGCAAAGGGTTAAAAGTGTCCTACCACTAAATATCTTATATGTCAATAGATCCCCGCTGTTGTGCCCCCTGGTAAGAAAGAAAACCTTGAAGACTAGGACTTCTAACTCTGCTCAGCCCAGTTGTGGGAGGTAAAGCACAATGTTCCCCCCGGGTCATTGGGATTGACTGTAAATGAGATCATTCTTGCTTTCACCCCTTGGTTCCCTGATCCATATATTTTTCCTACTGGAAACATAGTTCCATACAGAGATCTCTGATTTAGTGCCTATACTATATCCTGAAGGATGGTGCACCATCATTGTTGAGTATTGTCTTTGAGCTGCTGACTTAGCTGTTAACTTGAGTAGGCTTTTCCAGTACTCTGTGAGGACAGTTTCATGTAAATAGTACAGTATATGATACAGCAATTAGATCTCATGGATACGGGCCCACTCCTGTACTTCATTCTCTGTGAAATGGGTATATTTATCAATGCTGTGCTAGATGGGATTCTGTTAGTATCCCTTCTGTGTTCAATCATGGTCTGGGAGCAGCCCGGGGAGGCATTGTATGCTATGAACTCCACAGTAGATCCAAAAGTATGGCAGTTGAAAGGTGTCAGTCATCTGTGCTTCCCACAGCAGGTGTTTTTGAAAGGATATCTGAGTGGGTCAGCTCCATGGCTGCCACACTGATACAAAATGACTTTTACAGCATCACATGATGAGGAACAGGAATGTTTACACTACTTGTTTCACATTGTGTCCCGTTGGAGTAAGAAATGTAGAATGAAGAGTTCATTCAAACTTAGAATAGTATTTGAAGGAGAGTCAATCTGAATTTGTAAAAATCTAAATAATAAACAACAGTATTTTTTTATTTTTTTAATTTTATTATGTTATGTTAATCACCATACATTACATCATTAGTTTTTGATGTAGTGTTCCATGATTCATTGTTTGCGTATAACACCCAGTGCTCCATTCAGTACGTGCCCTCCTTAATACACATCACCAGGCTAACCCATCCCCCCACCCACCTCCTCTCTAGAACCCTCAGTTTGTTTCTCAGAGTCCATAGTCTCTCATGGTTGGTCTCCCCCTCCGATTTCCCCCCTTTCATTTTTTCCTTCCTACTATCTTCTTTTTTTTAACATAAAATGTATTATTTCTTTCAGAGGTACAGGTCTGTGATTCAACAGTCTTACACAATTCACAGCACTCACCATAGCACATACCCTCCCCAATGTCTATCACCCAGCCACCCCATCCCTCCCACCCCCGACCACTCCAGCAACCCTCAGTTTGTTTCCTGAGATTAAGAATTCCTCATATCAGTGAGATCATATGATACATGTATTTCTCTGATTGACTTATTTCGCTCAGCATAATACCCTCCAGTTTTAGCCACGTCGTTGCAAATGGCAAGATTTCATTCCTTTTGATGGCTGCATAATATTCCATTGTATATATATACCACATCTTCTTTATCCATTCATCTGTTGATGGACATCTTGGCTCTTTCCATAGTTTGGCTATTGTGGACTTTGCTGCTATAAACATTGGGGTGCACGTACCCCTTCAGATCACTACTTTTGTATCTTTGGGGTAAATACCCAGTAGTGCAATTGCTGGGTCATAGGGTAGCTCTATTTTCAACTTTTTGAGGAACCTCCATACAGTTTTCCAGAGTGGCTGCACCAGCTTGCATTCCCACCAACAGTGTAGGAGGGTACCCCTTTCTCTGCATCCCCACCAACATCTGTCGTTTCCTGACTTGTTAATTTTAGCCATTCTGACTAAACAACAGTATTTTAAAGAAATGCTTTACTTAACATCAAAACAAATATATTCATCCTGAACATAGCAAACTAATATTGAATCCTGATAAGTGTTTTTAAGAGGACTCATAAGTTAATAGGGAAAACTTATTTTTAATTAGTAATATCCATTTGCCTATAAGTAATTTGCTCAAATTTCAAAGAAAAGTTGACTTAGCAAGACCTCTATATGCATAGTGTTCTAAATGGATAGTGTAAAAGTTACTGCAGCCCAGTCAATGTCAACAAGTTAATAGATTTTATATCAGTATAAAGTAATTTCTTTTATAGTATACTGAAATGACTTGTCCAAGATTCACATTTTAAAGGCATTGTGAGCTCACTTCCTGCAGTCTCAAGCTCTTACATATGAATGACTATGGATTCATTTGTAGAGCCAACAAAATAGGTGAATAGAAAATCAAACTCAATGATTTCAATGCCTTGACAGTTTACTTAAGAGAAACTCTCCATAGCCAAACACTGTTGCTAGTAATAAAAAGTTGCAAGCTGTCACTGAATTCTGCTTCCTTGGCAGCACATCACAGTGATACACTGATTGATAAAGACTCAGATAATCAAATAGAAAATTCTATAGGTAGTTATCTCAGAGACATTGAGAGGATTTATGTCTTAAGCCAGTACATCTCCCTGAAGTCATGCCATATATAGGAAGCCATTGGAAGATTGCTTGGTAAGAATTTTAGAAAAAAAGGAATTAAGTAATTATTTGCAGCATAAATTTAAAGGCATCATTATATGACTATCTGATCCATCTATATTAATAATGGCAACTTATAAGGGCCAGGCACTCTCCTAAGTGTTTTATGTATAGTGACTCATTTAAATATCACAGCAAACTGATCAAGTAGGATACATCGTTATTCCCTTTTACAGATGAGGAAACTGAGTAGAAAGCTGTCTAATAAACCTGCCTATCTTAGTCAGTTTGGGCTGCTTTAAAAAAAATACCATAACCCAGTGGCTTAAACAACAGACGTTTATTTCTTACGGTTCTGGAGGCTGGGAAGTCCAATATCAGAATACCAGCATGGTCAAGTTTTGGTGAGAGCTCTCTTCCTGGTTTGCAGACTGCTACATCCTTACAGGGTGGAGAGAGTCTCTTCTTATAAGTCCTAATCCCATTCATGAGGGTCCAGTGTCATGACCTAATTACCTCCTAAAGGCCCCTATCTAAATACCATCACATTGAGGTTTAGGTCTTCAACATCAGTCCATAGCACTGCCCGAAGTCCAACAGGTAGTAAGTGGCAGAACCAGAATTCCAACCCAGGCAGTCTAGCTCTAAAGTCTATGCTCTTAACCTCTATACTATACTTGCCATTGAAATGGTCAGCTAGTTTTTTGGCTAAAATATGCTATTTCCAAAATATGTTTGGAAGGACAAAGCCATCATTCACCTCCTGAATCTCCTTTTTCTATGCTTCCAAGCTGACCAACCCTTTTTCTGAAAGATACAACTTGTTGTATTACATGAACTAATATATTATATGAAGTCATTGTTAAATTTTGCAGGCCTGAAAGTCATTCTGTCTCTTTTACAGATCTTTTTTCTTCATGATGGGTGACATCACATTTAGAAGCTATAGGAGCCAGGCAGGTAGCATAAATGAGTAAAATGGCTTGGTATAAGACCATACAGGATGGTGAGGACTGTGGCAAACCACTACTCACTCATCACTTGGCTCCAGCTGCCCTGTGCAAATGTGGACGCAATGTTACCAGACCTTATAATGGTCCAAGAGATAACAGAATCTTCATTTTAGTTAACTCCTTTTTTTTTTTTAAGATTTTATTTATTTATTAGAGAGAGAGAGAGAGAACGTGCCTGCACTAGTGGGGGAGGGGCAGAGAGAGAAGCAGTCTCCCCGTTGAGCGCAGAGCCCATAATGGGGCTCGTCCCAGGACCCTGAGATCATGACCTGAGCCAAAGTCAGACACTTAACTGACAGAGCCACCCAGGCACCCCAGTTAACTCCTTTTTTTTTTTTTTTAATGTTGGAAACTAATCTTTAAAATTGTAATCACTTTGTACACTAAATAAAACATCTGCTTATTATTAATTTTGTAATTTAGCTTTAGAGAGCAATCTTTACTCCTTTATTCAACTAGCATTTATTGATGGCCTATTATGTTTATTTATCAAAATTTGAAATTCCTAATCCTTTCTTACAGAAATATGTTGTCTCATATATGTGTAAAAATGTACAAGAATGTCCACTGCAGCATTATTTGCAAAATGGAAATCTTATCAGGACAGGGACTTTGTATTATTCATTTCTAGAACAGTCCTGGAATTATAGTAGGAACTAAATATATTTAATTTAAACTTCATCAACAGAACAGTTAAAGAAAAATGAAAAATTCTGTAAGACATATTTTCAGCATAAAAAGCAAGTTGCAGATGTTTCCATTTGTACTGAAGGAATATTAAACATATATATGCATAAATATGTAAGTAGATGTTAAAGGCTCTACAAAGTTATATGCTAAACTGTTACAATGATACTTCTGATGAGAAAAATGGGAGATGTGACTTCTACTTTTTCACTTCATATACATCTGTATTGTTTGACTTAGATGAATATATGTGCATTACTTGTATATTTAAAAAGACTAAATATTTAGCCCCATTAATAAATAAATGAAATAAAATAACCATGTAATTTCATTTCTTAACTTTCAGGTTAGCAAAGATTTCAAAAAAAAAGAAAAACTGGTGAAGATAGATACCAATGTTGGCAAGAATAAGGGGAAAGGAACAGTCTCATGCTCAGTTGCAGAAGTAAGTACAACTGTTCCAGAGGGCAATGTGGGACTACACAGTAAATCTTTAATATGCATACACTCTAAGCATTCCCATCTCTAGGAATTTATCTTAAGGAGATAATTGGACAATAATACAGAGATGTATATACTAGAATGTTCCTTGTGATGTTTATAGTATTAAAAAATAGAGGGGCGCCTAGGTTGCTCAGTCAGTTGAACATCTGCCTCTTGGTTTCAGCTTAGGTCGTGATCTTGGGGCGTGAGAATAAGCCCCGCATTGGACTCTGCACTCAGTGCAGAGTCTGCTTGAGATTTCTCTCTCTGTCTCCATCTGCCCCTCCCACTTGTGCTTGTTCTCTCTCTCTCTAAAATAAATAAATAAAATCTTTAAAAAAAAAAAAGAAAACAAATTGAATATCAATAATTAGGATATTGGTTAAATAAATGTACATGGCAAATATACCATAGTATACCCATACAGTAGAAGATTATGCAGTCATTATAAAGGGTGACATTTATATATATTTGTTACTATGTAAATGTAAGCATGAGATATAGTATGATAACATAACATACAAAAAATATACGCTATACATATATATAGGCATATATATGGGAGACAGTGCAGAATTATGGTTAAGTACTTGCACTCTGGAGTCAGACTCACTCAGTTTGAATGTCAGAACTACTACTTACTAAGCTTTGTAATTTGAGACAATTTACTGAAACTTTCTTTTTTTAGTTTTGTTATCTGTAAAATGGGATTAAAATACGACGTACCGCACATATTTGTTGTAAGAATTAAATTAAAGAGACCATCATAATCACAGTCTATTTTTATTTTACATAAAGAGAAATCTGGAAAAAATCATCAACATGGTGGTAGTGGGTCTTTGGGTGGTAAAATTGAATCTTTTTTTTTGCTTTCTTACAGATACCTTTCTATATTGTTTTGATTTTCTAAAATCAACACATAGTTTTGTAAATAGAGTAGATGATAGTTGGAAGAAGAGATGATTGGTAGACTGGAAGGAAGGAAGAGAAGCAGGATACCTGATGGCTTCAGGGTAGTTCTCACAGGTAGCCAATTCTCTGATAAAGTTATAGCAAAGTATAGAATCTATTCTTCAGCTCTATAGATTCCAAAAATCAACTTGACCATTCATCCAGTGTGCATCATATTGTAGGGAATTGATGGAAGCTACATGAAACTACATTCATATGTAGCTACAGATGAAACTACACACCTTCGCACACGTTAATAAACCAGTGTGTGTATGAGTCGGCTGATTCTTTGTGCCAATAGGAAAACACAAATTAGAAATACTTTTTCATTGAAACATGACTTGATAAATGAAAACCACAATGAGATACCAATACATACTCACCAGGATAGCTAATGTTATAAAGACTGGCAATACTAAGTGTGGACAGGGATATGAATACACTAAAACTTTAATACATTCTTGTTAAGAATGCAAAAATGGTACAGCCTCTTTGTAAAACAGTTTGACAAGTTAAACATACCGTACCTTATGACCCAGCAGTTCCAGTCCTAGGTACTTACCCCAGAGAAATAAACCCACATTTCCATGCAAAAAAAAAATGTGTACGTGAATGTTCATAGCAGCATTATTTATAATAGCTGAAAAGAAAAGCAACCCAAATCTCCATTACAGGTGAACGGATAAACAAATGGTATATTTATACCATGGAATACTGCTCAGCAATACACACAACAACATGGATGAATTTCAAAAGCATGCCAAGTGAAAGAAGTCAAACACAAAAGACTGCATTAAGGACGATTTTGTTTGTATGAAATTCTAAAAAAAGGCAGAACTACTAGTGATAGAGGATCAGTGTTGTCTGGGGTCAGGGATGAGGAGAGGTCATCAATGGCAGAAGGCCTTGAGGAGACTTTTTATAGTGAAGGTGCTGTTCTCCATATTGCTAATAGCAGTAGTTATACAATGGTATGCAATTACCAAAATTCATCAAACTCTACACTTAAAATTGGTAAACATTTTTATATGCAATTAATGTCTTAACAAATTGTCAGTAAGTTATTGGTAAGGATGGAGCCAGTTTTTATTATTAGATGAATGATACTCCATTAATTCACTTTCTCAAAATGAGTATATGTATATGTACTATAGGAAATAAAATTTGAAGGAGACTAGACTATCTGTAGCCATTGGTGGGATATCCCTTTTCTTTCATTCTTTTTCCCAAACAATGGGAGTTCTAGAATTCTGTTTCTAAGATGTTCTAGGAGGGGCTATGTATTTAAAAGTGGAGGCAAGGGGACTTGCCTTGAATCTGCATTTGTATGGTAAGCAATACTCTTATTTAAGTTGTGAGTTTATTTGAGGGTAGTATTAGACATTTTAGGGAAGCCAAAGCCTCCAAAACCATCTTTAGTTGCATTTACAGTTTCAAATACTATATTGATTTTAGGCACCAGTCAGTTATAATATCTGAAAGGAAATTTGCATTACACATTAATACTATCAACAACATATTTTAAAACTTTGCCTTAAGGGTAAGATTTTACTTTTGCAGATAGCTAATTTCTTCACTGTTCTGTTTCTTTTCATTGTTCTGTTTTACGATACCCAATTTCATAGAGAAAGATAACAGTACCATACATGTTGATTTTATTTCCAAATTCTGACAAATCTTTACATTTAGACCCTTTATCCCTTTACAGTCTCTATGTGTATATTCAATAAATTAAAATGTAATACCAACTCTGTTTTTTGCCTGTGTCCTTTTTGTGGACTTCTGACTATATCAAAGGTTGAAAAGTTATTCCAGTATTTTACTAAAAATATGTTTTGGAATTGGGCATACTTGAGTTTGAATTCTGGTTCTGAGATATTAGTTTGTAATTTGGCAAGATGTTTTTCCTCCAGCTGTAAAATAGGGATATCCATGCTTACCTTATGAAATGAAGATTAAATATATATAAATGCACTGGTCACAGTATCTGTCACATGCAAACTCTTAAGCAAACACTACAAATTATAGAACAGGGATTTATAACTAATAAGCCATAAAGGGATGAAGATGGATTCGTATAAAAATACTCAGCCCAAAAGAAGGCAAGAATAAAAGAGAAAAAGGCAAACAAAAAAAAAATGAGACAGAAAACAAATAAGCTGGTAGATTTAAATCTAGCAATATCAATAATCCCATTAAATGTTAATGTCCAAACACCTAAAATACAGATTGAAAGATTCAACGAAAAAGCAAGACCCAACTACCCTGTTTACAAGAAACACTGTATAAGTGAAGTCACAGACAAGTTAGAAGAAAAAGGATGGAAAAAAGATATATACTATGCAAACACTGGTCAAAAGAAAGCTGGAGTGAGTGACTATATACATATCAGAAAATGTAGTTTTCAGAGCAAGGAATAAAATTGGTCACTCTGCTTCCTTAGACCTCCAGTCCCCCAGATCCCTTCCTGTGAGGCAACACATTACCTATTTTTCTGTATCTTTCCAGAATGAGTTTATGAATATATAAGCATATATCACTTTTATTTTTCACCAAGGGGAGTATACTGTATTCACTGTCATGTACTTTATTCTTCCAAATATATCTAGGACATTATTCTGTATCACTACATATAGATTTATCTCATTCTTTTTAACTACTATACGGTAAAGAATGAAGTTTTTTTGAAGGTCTCCATCAAGAACACTAGAACTCCAAATTCTAGCTAACATGGCTAAGTGAAACTCCTCCAAAATATGATTGGAAAGTTTAAAGAACTCTGGACACCTGTATTTCCAGCACATTCAAAACTAAGGTCAATATCCTGACATGTCACAGTCCCACCAGTTATTCCAAGTCACACTTCTACCAGTTTGTTATTTTTTGAGGACATGATCCTCCAACTACTTAGTCTCCAAACTAAATCTTAACTTCCCCTTCTCTCTTATGTTTCCCCAGTCTGTAACTAAGTCTTACAGATTCTACTCTCAAGGTGTCTCAGCAAGTTGGAGATGGATGATGAAATTCTTCTTCAAGTTCATTGTTAACCTATTCAATGCATTGGAACTAAGACTAATATCTGCATCCATTTCCAAGCTCCTTTGCCAGATGTTTTGTCTATAAAATTGCATCATAGAATTTAAGAGGTTTTTTTAAGTGATAGATTGATGTTTCTCATATTCCTATTTGAAAAGTTTCTTTCCAGATTCCTTCTTTATAATTGTATTCATTGTTATTCTTATTTAGGAAGATATTCTGGTCTGGTGGGATATATAGCTTTGTAATTCTAAAGTGGAATTATGGATCATCTTTTGACAAGCTCCAAGTACTTTAACAAGTTCTGTTTCATATATCCTAATAATATCCCTTTGAAATAGGTTGAAGAAATTTTTTTTTCAATTTATTAATGAAAGAACAGACACATAGATATATCAGGTAATTAGTGCTTGGCTGCACAGTGTCTTAATGACCAAGCTGGGACTAGAACCCAGGTTCCTGACTTTCAAGCCAGATTATGTTTCAGAATCATAAAACTGTCTACTCTGTAATTTTGAAAAAGTAATGGTGTATATTCTCTCACACACTCTGAATTTCTAGAGCTGTAGCAATAATCCATTAAAAAAAGAAAGTCTTCCTTAGAGAATCTCATTGGAAAAGAACATTTCTCGAGAAATGTAGAGAAGACATGTTCAACCAGTGATTTTCTTCATTAAGTACTTCTCTGTAAAATGAGCTTAAAATGTGATGACATCAGGTTCAATGTTATACCTATTTTTATTCCTCTAAAATATTGTCCAAACATATAAATGCCCTAGACTCTAAATCAATCATTTGAAAGTGGTTGACTACAGCTTTGAAAATATTGGGAGCATCGTAAACATCACCCCATGTGTCATTTCTTTTTCATCATGGAACATATATAGCCTGCAGTCATTCATAGCAATATCTCATGGTTCTAGAAGAGTCTTATGAATAACTTTGTCCAGCTGTGTATTTCTGAGTAGTTAGATG